ATTAGGCACTAGTTTCTCCAATAGGTGTAATCCCGCCCCCATTCTGCCCACCAGTCATGAGTATAGTATTTCCACTGTTACTGGACTATTTCTCTCCAAACAAGTTCCTAATCATATCTTGGTGGTGTTTATTATATATGGTGTGGGGTTCACTTAAGGCTGGGGTAGCTAGTAGGTTGTTCAAAGAGTATTGATCAGGTAAGGAAGGCAGGATGTTTTGAATATGTGTTTTGGTGGATACAGAGATATGGCTAGAATGTTAGTGACTATCCACGTACCATTGTCCTGCTCCATATATAATCTTCTGAAATCATTATCTTGTCTTGTCAATCTCTGTAATTCCTTTTAAACTTCTTTCTAGCTATCCCATCCCTACCTCCAACCCACTTTTGACTCTCATTGGTGAAACTGTGGTGATGTAACGAATGGATACAATGTATTCCTCCCTCCTCTCCATGCACCATTTACCAGGTAAGTTCTCCAATTAGAACCTTATATCTTCATGTCTTGCAAATAATAATTGAACATATTCCTCTGGAACTCCCATGGGATTTATATGTCTTCTGGGCATTTTGTGCAATACAGATACTCAGAACCCCAAATGGCTATTCTGAGCTACCACAAATTAAGCATATATAATATACACTGTATTCTTTCTGCTTTGGGGAGACTACAGTAAAGGTATACATACCATGGGGAACATTGAGGGAGATGCATGTCAACTACACTACTATACGTTCTTGTTTTGAGTATGTCATAGATTACATCAAGATATAATTAGCAGGGTTTTTGGAGAGAAGTGGCCCAGTAATGGTCAAGATATAATGCTGATGACAGGAGGGCAGGATGGAAGGATGGAAGGATGGAAGGATGGAAGGATGGTAGGATGATGGGATGGCGGGATGGCGGGATGGTGGGATGGCGGGATGGTGGGATGGCAGGATGGTGGGATGGTAGGATGGCGGGATGGCAGGATGATAGGATGGTGGGATGGTGGGATGGCGGGAGAATCCATTCACTTGCAACTTTGCAGCCGGACATGGCATTAGCTGAAGGACTTCACCAATTGAATATCAAATTGGTTCTATTATCCAATGTGCAACCCGGGCATTTCTACCAATTTAATTCACTTGTCT